GGAGTCAGTACTCCTCATATTGATGTTGTTGCAAAAAATAAATCTATTACTCTTCTTTGTTTACAAGCTATTTTTAACATATTATATATTGAATGGCATATTTTCTAAATGGCATATTTTCTCGTTGACAAATTTTTCTATATTCCAAAATTCGATTATTAGAAGACATAATAGTAACAACTACATTTTTTATTACAAGTGCAGAAGTTTCGTATATATGCATAGCTTCTTTAACAATCAAATTGAAAATATGGGCACAATAACGAACATGAAATAAATCACCATCAACAAGTAATTGTAAAGTTAATTTTAAATAGGCTACGGTTTGATTATAATATGATGCATTATCTAAACTAATCGTAAATATTTTTATTTTGTAAAGCCCACTTGTATAATACATTTCTTATTTCTACACCAAGCGAATGACCAGTGTATAGAAGTTTAACTAATTTAAATGAAATAATTCTTTTATTTAATTTCCAATCATTATCAATAAAATGTGCAGTGATACATTGATATTCAAAACCATTATTTGACCACAGATCAGATGTTAAATAAACTCTTCCATTCAAAATTTTAAAGATGTCAAATAATTCACTTTTAATATCCTCAAATTTCTTTAAAATCCTATTTCTAGTAGTATTTCTTAAAAAACTTTGATATTGCGGTGCAAAACCTTCGTGAATCATTTCGGTAAAATCGGGACATTCACTAGTAGTAAAAGGTTGTTCTTTTTTAATAATATAATCAACTACAGAATTTTGTGCACGTATAGGATCATATGAAAATGTTTGTAAATTACCAGTTGATGAAGCCCCTAATTGCATTTGACTTCGAATATCAGGTTGTTGATTTTGTAAATATTTGTTAGCATGCCTTTTTAGATCACTAGTACCTCCTACAGATGCATCACTAAGTAAATGTGCACAATATTTACATTTTGCTTTAAATGTAATTGTACCATCAGGATTATTTATAGATATTTTTTCAAAATGTTTCCAAACACTACTACTTATGCTCCTAGATGATGATCCAACTATTGGAAGAGGGATATTAGAAGGAGAATCAACAGATTCATGCTGTGTAGTATATGTATCAACATCGACATAAACATTAGGCATATTAGGATTCATAGTAATGTAAGTAAAACAATATATAAGAATTAACAATAAATTTAAATAATGTGTAAATACATTCAGTAAAAAATAATAATTAATATATGTGTACAAATAATTAATGAAAAAAATAAGTAGCTAATAAATTTAATTAAACTAATTAATGTTATCAACTGGCGAATGCGATACAGAAATTTGCTTCTTTTGATAAAAGTTTCTTGTTGCACAATTGTAATTGTCACTTAGGGATGACACTTCAAAATTAATTAAGAGTTAAGAGAGATTGAGAGTTTAAGAGAGATTGAGAGAGTTGAAGAGAGAGAGAATTATTTTAAAAAATGAAAGATATTTATAGTAGTTTGAATTATGACCGTTTGTATATATAATACCGTTTGAGTTGAGTGATTGATGAGGAGATGCAACAAACCAATTTCGGCTAGGCTAGTAAGGATGGGCGGGACACAGAGAGAGAGAGAGGCAGCCGTTCTTTCTGATCAAAAGAATGGAGCTAGAGATAGATATCAAAATATTGCCATGCCCTCGTCTTTTCACTGAAAAGTTTTCAGGGATTTTCTCTTGTATATACAGAATATAATGAATATTTTATAACTTTGCCTCCACTCTCTTCTATGTTTTCTATTAGTATATCCCAATGATGAATAAATATATTTTCAATAAATTAAATTTGCTTACCACTCCACTCTACTTTTACATGTTATTTTATGTTTGTAATAGTTATAGGTAATAGGTAACTCATAAGCCTGCTATAGCAAAAGAGTAGGCTATATAACAACCCAAATTTTTAATTATTCTGTAGAATTTATACTAATATTATTTAATCACAGTTAGGAAAATATATAATTTATTATATATTATTATGTGTAATTTTGTAAAATAATATAATTATTAAGAATTTAGGGGTCAAAGTTTAAATAAATAATAATAATAATGGGTGTGGTAATAAAATAAATAATTAATTTTCTGTTAGTATACAATAGAGTGTAATTTAATTAAGAATTGATTTATTTATATAATTATATTAAAATATTGGGTCAAAATGTAATTATCTTAAATATCTATTAAGGATAAGAATAAATCTATATAATTATGAATTAAATCTTAGAGAAAGAGACGCCCAGCAACGTGTTGGCCGCGGACGGGGCTCACCTCCCTATAAATAGGGAGGTGTTTCACCTGGGTAAAGAAAAGAAAGATGGTCTTTGATAGTGGAAAGAAAAAGTAAGATATTAAAGTTAAGGTGAGTTATATTATATCTTGAGTCACCAAAATGTATTTTAAGTATGTTTTGATTTACCATATTTATTTTATACAAGTTATGTTTTATAAACTATTATAAGTTATATTATTATTTCAGTTACGTGGATTATTTTCTGAACCCTATTTGCTTAAAAGGAAGCCCATGGATATGTTTGTTTATATTTTAAAGAATATTTGGTTATGATCTTATATACAATTATGTTTTGTAAGTACTACCACGGGAGTCCCATGCCTTGGGGGACTTAAATAACCATCGGCTTCTGTTTGGTCACTTTGTGGCCCTATGATCCATTGACCTCTGTTTTGTGCGGAGCTAAGTACTACATTATTGTGGGAGCCACCTCTAGAATTCGTACGAGCCACCTCTTGAATCCGTACCTCTGTTCTGACTGTCACTTCTGTGACCTCTGTTATGCTCTGTTTTGCACCGTGGTTGTGGTCATTTACTTACATAATTTCTGTATTTTAGTTCTGCTACTTAAATTAGCAGTTTTTGCCACTTACATGATTTGTTTACCAAATTACCGTGGTTATGGTTATTTGTTTACATAATCTCAGTTTTGCCACTTAAATGATTATTTGTTCCGACTAAGTTATCTTAAATGTTTTGGCTTAACTAACTATCTATGGTTATTTCGTGTCCCTTATACTCTTGGTATAATATTTCCCACTCTGCCATGTGCTTATAACTGTTTACCAATTTTCAGGAAACATGCAATTCGGAAATAGCTTTTGGAAAGTCTTAGACGCGGGGCTGCGGAATAGATACACACAACAGTTTTATGATATTTTTATATGTAAATATCTGCCTTTTTGGTCCATGTATTTTGTAATAAAAATAGAAGCTCCGATGATTATTTTGATACCCTTATTTAAATATTACTTCCGCTCGCGTTTAATGATTTGTTTAAGAATTGGTCGAGGTAATCTCAGTTACTGGCCACCACGATACTTAACCCTTAGGTAGGGGGAGCGGGTCGTGACAGGCTAGGCTCCATCTCTCTCTCTCTCTCTCTCTCTCTCTCTCTCGTTTCGACTGCTAACAGCTAGCCACAGTGACAGTGTAGTGTGCTAGTGGGTCACACTCTATTTCTCTCTCCTGGCCAAAGAAAAAATTATTATTAGTTTGATTTTAATTTAATAAATTATTATTATTTTTTGTTTTATTTTTAAATTATTAATGTTATTTACTTAATTATATAAAATTTTATTTTTACAAGATTAATTTTTATTTTTATAAGATCAATCTTTTTATTTATTTTATTTTTTATGTTTTTTTAATTATTTAATCATTGCAAATTGTTTTTTATTTTTATTTTTTGAAATTTGACCATTGGTAGAGAGAGGACCAGATGGGTGGGCTGAGCTGGGCCCCAAATGGAAGGCCCAGGCCCAAGGTATTGGGCTCGGCTCGGATCGGGTTCGGGCTTTAATCAGGCCGAAATGAGCCGGGCCTACCTCGGACTTCGGGCAGGCTTCGGACCGCCCACGGGTCTCAGGTCATTTTTACAGCTCTAGTTGGGATTACGTGGGATGTCCAAACAATTTTTATCACAATTCAAATTTTGATATGGGGTCCCAAGAAATGAGGTGCATTTAGAGCCACTTATGTTGTGTTTGTTTGAAGGATTTGGAAAGGGAAAGGGAAAAGGTGTGTGTAAAATTTAGGCATATTTTGTTCACATTTCACCTACCTTTTCCATTTTCCTTTCCAAATCCCTCCTCAAATTCTCCAACCAAACACAGCATTAGAGATATAACAAAGAATCTATCAAAAAAATTATTAAACACTCATATGGGTGTGAAACTTACATTTATGTGGTATCCACATTTATATGATATACGACTCACACTCATATGACTGTTTGATCATTTTTTTTAGTAAATTCGTTAGTGGATCTTTAGCATGGCTTTTTTTTTTTTTTGGTTTTAATTAATCACTCGTTTGGCATGTTGGTTGAGTTGGCTTTTTTGTTCAAATAGTTATAAAAAGATAAAATAGATTAAAAAATCAATAAAAATATCACATAAATCATAATTATTTAATTTTTTCTCCTATAAAAATTAAAAAAACTAAAAAAAAATCATCATAAATAAGACTTTTTGATTTCAAACTAAAATAACCAAAAAAAAATGAAAAAGTCAAAAAACTAACACATGCTCCAAACAAACCCTAAGGTAGTCCAATCTAAATTTTAGGTGCAAATAGGGATTTGGGGTGTGTGCAGTGCGGTCTTATGGTCTTATTTTGAGGTTCATTTTGATAATTTAAATTATTTACATTTTAAAATATATCGAGTAAAATATACTTATAAAAAATTAAGTTAATCGGATATTGTTAATCTTTTCATTTACTCACATTTATACCTTAAAAAATAAATGATATTGTGATTTAAAATATTAAAATAAATACAAATATTAATAAATGAAAAGATTAACGATATTCTATTAATTTAATTTTTTACAAATATATTATACTTAATGAATAGACAATTTAAATTATCAAATTAAATCTCAAAACAAATCTATAAAAAATCGTACAACAGTGGCTCTATGTTAGGTGCACAGCACACACCCCAACTCCTGCCAGTAGAGCCTGCCGCATTCTCATTTGTTTGGGCTTCAAGTGTTGCGCAACCATCGCATAATAAAAACCCTACTCAGCCCCACCCAAAAAACACGACCTACAAAGCTGAGAAACCCTAGTTCCCCTCTCTCTCTCTTTCTCTCTCTCTCTCTCTGTTTATGTATATAAGCACAATCGAATGAATGAATCTCAAAACTCCAAGCCTTTCGATGGCAGTCATCCATGGCGATGAGCTCAGCCTCCTTTCGTATTTTGTATATGCGAATTCATTAGTGTGTGTTTTGTGTGTCTGGAAGTGAAAATTTACAAATTAATAGCTTTACTTTGAGTTTTGATTTAATTTTTCTTTAATATCCTGACCAGTGAATCACAAAACTGAAGCTTATGCATATAGATATGTACTTAAAATCATGAGTATCGATCTGTATGTATATATATATATGTTGTGGTTTATATGGAGCACTGAGGTACGATGATGATTACATGTGATTGGTCTCGTTCGTCGTAATGGCAGCCATTGCCTTGCCGACCATCCTGATATATCACCACCCATAAACTGAGTCCTCAAAAAAGACCTCTCTTTTTTCCTCTATGTTTAGCTTTTCAAGCTCTATTTTTTATTTTGTATATATATATATATATATGTATTTATGTGTCTGTTGTGTCTATATTTCATATGGTTTTTTTTTTATTTTAGTTTTCTGTTTGTAAATTGGCCAATGATTAAACAATTTTTAATAGACAAGCATATGTCTGAAACATATTGTGTTGACAAACTAATCTTCTCTATGAGGCCCACTAGATGCTACTACATTTGTTTTTAATTTTTTTGTTGGTTCTTTATTTTTTTTAACAGATCTGTGCATCTCCTACTCTTGACTCAAACTTGTATCAAATATAAATTTGCATAAACTTAATCAACAACCTCTTCCATTACTAAAATTTTTAAAGACAATTTTGAAGCTTCCAAAATTTTAACTTTTCCATCACTGAAATTTATGCTTAAATTTGAGTGTGTCAATTGGAGTGAGCTTTCACTCAAATTTGAGTAAAATCTGAGTAAGGGCTGGACATAGCCTAATCAATATGTGATTACTCATGTTTACAACCAAGCTGCTGTTGAGTGAAATTTTGTGACCAGTGGATGGTGTTGAGTCCTAATATATGACTGTTTTATTACTTTAACCTCTTTTGAAAGAACCAAGAGGTGGTAAACTTTTGATTTTGATTTATGCTTTATTTTGTTTTTGCCCGGTAGAAATCATGTAGTTGTATTTGTTTGTGTTTGTTTTGTTGAGTGTCTGTTTGTGTCAAACAGGGTCATATGATGATTTCATGCATAGTTCAGATGATAATATATGATTATACATTTGAATGTCTTTCGCTCCTATCTGATGACTCTGTTTGAGTTTTCTCATTTGCTGTATACTGTAAGTTCTGTCTGTGTTGATTTTGTATGTGATCATTAATTTTGTAGATACCCCAAAATTTTGATGCTCTTATGTGAAGCTGGTGTGCAATCATGGTAGTCAAACTCTGTTCAAGATGTATTAAGGCTTCTTTGTTTCTTTTACGTGTGATTTTTTATCTGGGTTTAATAATTGTTTTGAGAACTTGTGCTAGTCTCATGTGCGTTCAACCTATTCAGGTAGTTTGTTGGAATATGATTTCTGGACTAAACGGCTCTCTAAAATAGCTATGAAATAGTTTGATTCAATAACATCCCTATCCATATGTTTTAGCAAATTCTGAGTTTCATCTCCCAAAATTAATTAATGTCTTTAATAGCCTCCCTATGATTGACAATTATGTGTTTGAAAAACTGAAACATATGGTGATGACTCTAACTTGATACTACTATGTTTCTTGTTTTTTTTTTTCTTCATTTTTTCTGTTGGCTTTGTAATTTTATTTGAGATTTGCCAATGCCAATGATGAAATAAATAGTAGTGTGCAATATATGATTAATCATGATTACTATCATACTAGATTGAGTTCAATTTTATTTACTCACCTTCTTGTTGTGTAAACATAATCCCACCTTTTGATTGCTTCCTCCAAAGCAGTTAACTCCATTCCTAACATTTAACTTGTTTTGGAAGAACCAAGAGGTGGATAACTTTTACTTGTCATAAAGGCGAGTGAACAAAATTGTTCTCATACTATCTTTTGAGGCATTGTTTTGTTTTTATTTTTATGGGTTTGGTCAATGAGTGCCCTAAGGGCATTGGTTAACAATGTTTAAATTGATTGTACATTACATGTTACATGCACTCCCATGCAGCATGTACAAGCATGTCAAGCTTCTTATCGAGTGCCCTAAGGACACTTGTTGACAATACTCTATTTTTATTTTGCTTTTCAAATGTTAGCCTTCTTTTGTGTTGCTGAGTGTTTAAATTAACCCAACAGGGTCACATGATGATTTCAAGCACAGTTCAAATGATAATTTATGATTATACATTTGAATGTCTTTTGCTCCTGTCTGTTGACTTTTGTTTTGATTTTATCTGTTTGTTTTTGTTTGTCAATTTCCTTTAATTTTGCAGATACCTGAACTTTGATGCTGTTATGCTGGTGTGCAATCATGGTGATCAAACTCTGGTTACGTTTTATTTAGGATTCTTAGTTTCTTTAATTTGACATCAAAGACTGTTTTTGTTAGCAAGGTTTAATTATAGTGTGTCTGGGAATGTTGTTTATTATTTGTGTGACATCAAATGCTATTTTTTTTTTTGTTCTTTTTGTTAATTGTTTCTTAGATTTTTTTAAAAACAATATACTTCTCAAATCAACTAGATTAGATAAATTTAAAAAGTAAAAAAAAAAATGATAGAATATTTTTAAAAAGCTCACTATAGGCAAACAAATGAAAAACAAAATCTCAAAAATAAAAACAAACAAGTGAGTGACTTTTATAATAAAATCAAAATGTTCTTTGGTGTGATCAAAGAATTCATGGTATGAAAATGAGAACATGCCCAATCCCATCAGTTTTGGAGATCTTCTATTGGATTTTGTTAATTTATTTTTGTTTACTATTCCAAATATATGCAAGGCTTCCAGCCATTTTTTATTTGCTTCATTCTAAATTTTAGATGTTATAATTTGCTTATAGGTTAAATTGATTTTATGTCCTGTGTCAGGATGTTTAATTTGGGATCTTGGAGACCTTTGACAAGGAAGCTGGTATGAACTTTAATGATTCATTTTTGCTCTTCTTTGGTTCCTCAACTTTTGTATTAAAGTGGGTTCAGTTATATATTTTTTGGGTCAATGATTATGCAATTTGTACAAGATAAGCATATGTTTGAAACAGCCAGTGTTGACGACTAATCTTTTCAATGATATCTGGTACTTGCATCTTTGCATTCATTTTTAATATGTTTTGTTTTTAATTTTTTTTAGTTTTGGGTGATGATTTAATTGGTACTATATACAGGAAGAAAATTATTTTTGACCTGTGTTTGTTTACTTATTTGATGGGACTTAAGACTTGATTTGATTTGGTTTGTGTACATATTTGTTTTTGCTCTTTGCGATTGTGCGCAATAACTATGACATTTGTACTTTTGTTTCTTTCTTTTCTTTCTTCTCTTTGAGCGAGTGTTTGTTCCTTCCAGCAACTCCAACAATGGTTAAACATTATTCTTCAAATTTTAATTAAATGATGAGTTCTCTATTCTCAAGGGGCTTTTTCATAAAGCTTCTCTAACAATGCTCTTTATGTTTTCTCTATTATTTTTTAACTTAATGGTTATATTTTAAAAATATATATATACATTTTCTTTAATTTTTTTAAAAACTATAAATATTTTTAAAAATAAATGATGTTAGATGGGTTGTAACTTTGAAGCCAAAATTGTTTTAAAGAGGACGTGAAAAACAATTCCTCTTGTTTTGGGAACCTGCACTAGCCTTTTATGCCTTTTCTAAAATAGGGAGGTTTTGGGGGAGTTTGTTGGAACTCTTTTTGAACTAAAAAGATATCCAGAACAGCTAAAAAGAGAAAAATGCTAGAGGCTCAAATTTTTTTATCAAAAATTATACCAAACACTCATGTAGGAGCCACACACGAGTGTTTGGTAAAAATTTTGATAGAATTTTGGAGGTCCCTAGCATTGCTCCTAAAAAATTTGGTGTGATGGAAGTTGAGCATCTCCAATAACTTTCTTAGCCTTATTTTTAAGCTATATCTGGTGTCTTTCTTCAACAAAATAGGTCTAACAACATCCCAAAGAGACTCCATATTTTAGTTAATGACTGCACAACTCTAAATATGTTTATAGTCATTGTAGACTCCCAAAAATAAGAAAATACATTTTTATTACCGTTTCTAACCAGGTAATTAAATGCAGTAATTGCATTTGAGTGGTATTTGGTGAAACAAATTACAAAATGCTAAGAAATTTATTTTAATTGCAGTAGAGGTGGGAATAAATAAAAGGGGTGAAATATATTTCTTGAATTGATCAAACTAGTCACCTGTCAATTTCTTTACTATTCTTTATTTCTCTTCACATGCACATTTTCTTCCTTATTTTTCTATATTTTTTTGCTATTCCTTCTTGCAGTCTTCCCACGTTAAACATGATTATCTTTTCATTTTTAATGAAATAATAAATAATATTTAAATGGAATAGAGGAAGGAGAGGATTTACTGGGGAAGTGAGTTCCTGAATAGAGACCTCACTTTTTACCTAAAATTTGGGGAAAGATTGTTGGTGGAGTTTGTTCTACAACTTCTCCAACGGACATTTTGTTCCTATTTTTTGGCTAAGTTTAGGAAGGACGCACCAAAAACAGCTCTCTATGTAGTATATTCTTGAAACAGTCACTACGAAATTTTAAAATACGTGCAATGCATATATTATTGTAACAGTAGGCAATAAAATATTGCAGTAGGAAAAACTGTGTTTATTGTTTATATCCAAAAAAAAAAACTTATTGTGAACTTAACTAGTAATTGTTAATGGCTTTTTTTAATCTATATGGTATGATTTTAATTAAATTGCATATTTTTTAATTGAAAAGGTTTGAAGAAAGTATATTTAAACGGAATTGAGAAATAGTAGAGAATACTTTCAGAGGAATAATGCTTAGATGTACCTAATATTTTATATATTATTTGATACCATCACATCATGTGGGTTTCACACTTTATTTAAGGAGAGGGTAACATCTTGTGTAGAATATTAGGTACATCCAGCATTGTTGTTTCAGAAGAGAAGCTGTACTAGTGTCCACACAAGACAAGGAAAATTTGTAGAAAAATTACAGAGTATTGTTGGAGTCGTTTTTATTAGCTTTTTCTTTCCCATATTTTTAACTGAGATTAAAGATGGTAGTTGGTATCTTCTTTTACATGAATTGTTGGCATGAGAGGTCGAGTGATGAATAGTATCACGGTTCAGATGATAATTTCAATGATTATTACTCTGCATATTCGTTGCTCCTATCTGACGACTATCTTTTGTTTTTACTTCATGTGTATGTCACTGGATGGATTTCACATACACAACAATTTTGCCATGTATGTAAATGACGCATCATATTCAAAATAGACTTGTATTACTGTTTTTTTTTTTTCTTCTCACATCTGCTGATGAAACAAAAGTAATTTTGTAAGCTGCATGCAGTCAGGAAAAAGTGTGGGGTGCCACGTACTTGTCCTTCACCTTTAATGTGTGTACATGGTGTTTTCAGTCCTTGTAATCTGACTGGTTTCCTCTTGTTTCTCCTTCCCCATCTCTGTCTACCCCTTGTCTCCCATTTCACGAGCCACATTTTTTCTTCCCCTTGCATATTTTCATTTTAGACAAGTGCTTGATATGTTTCAATTATAATTTGAATTGCTTTGTTCTCTCATGGGTAAGACATTGTCTACTGTCTGAATGTTTCTGGTAAACCTCAAGATAAATCAGCTATCCCATCTTGCACTATTTTCATTGTCTTCTCTAGGCACTGTCTTTCTTTGGGTTGGTTTGTGTTTTTGTTTGTCTGCCTGCTAGTGGATGGAGTCCTTCATTTGGTGCTATGAAGGTAACCACTGCTATGAATAATTCTTTTGTCCTATCAGTTATTGGCTGAGTTAGTGGTTTAGGCTCCCTCATTGTAAATCATGTTATCATTATTGCTAGGAAAATCTGTGGTGCACACACCCCTTTAGGTTATATCATGTACACTGCCATCAGCTACTATCCTAAATGCTCTAAGTTACGACATAACGTGTTTGAAGTTACAATCCAACCAGATTATGTCGCAACTCTAATAAGAGTTTTAATCTGGAGTTACAATTCAATGTGGTTGTTGTCCTAACTTTGACCACATCATATCGTAACACATCCCCCACTACAAACTGGCCCTTATTGCTATCAGTTTTTTAATTATAGGTTTATGTCATTGTGACACCCAACATGTTTCCATGTTTATTGAAGTTCACATAAAATTTGCGTGGGTATGTTCCTATGCACAATGTTTGCAGGTTAAGGCAGTCGAACGCGGGAAATGTGTTGCCAAATGTAGTCTCTGTGAATGTCCCTCAAATTTGATTGCATGTGAATCGTTTAACTGAATCATTTTATCTTCAGAAACTGATTCATGCAAATTGGAGCCACTCACTTGGATGATTTGAAAGTGATTTCTACATCCAGCTGCTGCCAATACATGTGTAATTGGAGCATAAATGTTCAATGTGAAGGTACATTCTGAGCTAACTTGTAGCTTTGAAGATGGTTTTGCGTTGTAATGAGATTCGTTTCAACAGTTCCAACTGAAACATGTTTGTGCAAACATTTTTTTATGAGTTGCACCGTGACAATGAATTGTTCTACTTTATTTCAGAAAGCATTTAACGAAATACTCGTTGTGCCGAATATGTCTGTTCTGTTTCTTGTTTTTTTTTTTTCCTTGTAATACATAAATGTTCGTCTCTTCCAGTGAATTATTCAGAATGAGGTAATTGTGTTTCTATTGCAACAACAGAGTATAGTGGCAGTTGGGTTTCTATGAATTGCATAGTTCCGTTAACATGCTTACAAAAAATCAAAACAGATTATGTGAGTTTGTCTTCTTGTCTTCTGTCTCTGTCAGACCACACTACTTATAGCCAAGTTTGTCAATTGTGACGGTTCAGTTCTCTCTGGTTAATTTCTCACTTACTTTTGCAATTATCGCCGTGTATTTGTTCTTTCTAGCTCATTCACGGCCTACTCAACGGTTCATTCTAAATTTGGTAAGAACAAAAGTCGACTTATAAGGAAACATAAATTATTACACGAGTCTAGAACATTACATGATTGCGTGTTCAATCACGTGTTTTATGATTTTATAAGATTCTTATTATTTGTTCATGTAAGCATAATTCGTCTATTATTGAGCCAGCACACAATTCAGTGCAGGGGTTTTCGAAAGTTGGGACAGACTGCTGATTGAATGCTCAAACAAACTTGGAAAATTTTGGCCTTGTTTGGTTTGTTTTTGAGAAACAAATTTTGGAGAAAATTTTCTAAAATTTTGTTTGGCTTAGTGATTTAGAGAAAAAAGTAAATTAAATTCACTTTCTATCTCTTACACATCAATCAATAATTTTTTCTCTCTTCTCTCCTTTTCAATCACTTTTTTTTTTCTCACACATCTACTCAACTGTAACAAAATATCAAATTATCTCAAATTCTCATATTCCAAAATTATTTACAAAATATATAACCAAACAAATCAAAAAAAATTCTAAACTTCTCTAAAGATTTTGTTTGAAAATTTATCTATTAAAACCAAACCAAGCACACCATTTTTTCTACACACCTAGTTATTTAAGTACACACACTTAATAAAATATTATTTTAATGACAATTATACCTTAAACTAAAATGACCATAATTAACATTCACCAACATTCATAATATTATGTGAAAATATTCTCTATACACATCTTTTAAAACAAAATAAAAAAAAAAATCTCAATGTATACATTTTGAGTAAAAATAAAAAAATAAACCCTAGTAGATTTTTAGAAAAACTTGAAATTCAAGTTTATGAAAAAGTTTTGAACATTGATTATATTAATTTATTTCACTAACTCTCTAATATTTTACCTATTAAAAAAAACAAAAAAATGCCTCATCGGATAAATTAGGATTGGATATTTTACCTTTATCTTTAAGTTGGCTGTTAATTTTTTTAATTTCATTAAGGATAGATTGGTTGGCTGTTTGAAGGTGTTTTACTTCTGTTTTTAATACATTAATTTTCATTTTTAAATCTTGGATAGTTGCTGGCTTTTCAATTGATTGAGAAACTTGCATGCGGTTAAGAACTTCTTTAATGCTGTAATGTTCAATTGGAATTATTTCTTCTGTTTTCTGATTCTGATAACATATTTTAAAGAATTTTAGTTTCATTTCTAGATCTTTAATCTGGTCCGCTAATTCTAACATAGACTTCTGGTCATCAGTTAAAACATTGAGGCTGGGCCCTCTTAAATCTAAATTATTCATTTCAACTATTGTTTTCCAATAATTTGCATCAGTTAGAGCATCCAGAGGATTTATTTTACTGGTCTTACAAGAACATTGTGCTGGATTATCTTAGTTAGAACTAGACTCAGATAGGGAATAAATTTCTACTAATCCATCTTTTGAGTTAGATGTACTATTTGTACTAGAAAGGGTTTGCAAAATCTGTTATTGAAGTTGCTCATCCAAGGATGTCTCATTAAGTTTTTGTTTCAATTTAGCTCTACATTTATTCACGTAATGTCGTGTTGTTCCACAAACAAGTGATTTGTGATTTATCTTTCTTTGGATAAGATTTCTATTTACCTTTAATTGATCTTGTAGGCTTTTGATAAGATTGTTGGGGATTATATTTATTCTTTTTGGAGTATGATTTCCTAAAAGATTTTGCATATGGTTTATGTTGTCTATGTTTCTTAGACTTAGAAGGATACTAGATTTTGGTTTCATAGGCAAATTGATCACAAAATTCACCTAATTCTTTTTTACCTGTTAAATTCTGCTTCTTCATAAGATACTGGAGTTTAAAGTCATTACAAAGGGAAAGACCTTCTTCAACTATGATTCCTATGAGCTGACCATAAGTGTACTGGTTGTAAGGGATAGACATTCTATTATGGCGATCCCTTAGTTTCTTGTAGATTTTTTCGACAAAGAGGTTAGAAAGACCACCAATGAATTTGGCTTTCCAGTGTTCACTATTAGCATCCTGGCGTTGCATTACCTTTAACATAAACACATCTTTATACCATCAAAAATGGGTTAGAGATGGGCAACGGAGGTTCTGTAAGAGTTCTCTACTTCTATCACTGTTAGTTACATCTGATCCTACAAAATGGTAGAGAATGGTTTGGGTAGGGGTGTAAACGGCATTTCCCTATTTTTGATGGTTCCTATTATGGGATTGGTATCTACCTTAAAAAAATTAAGAATTTCGTTTTGTTGTGTGGCGGTAAGAACATTATCCCACCATCTTTTAAGGATACCGGTAAAGCCATTGACAATAAATCGGGTGATTTGGCTATAAGAATTGTCATTCTGTTTACAAACAGTGGCATACATCATAATCTGGTGAATTGTTTCAAATATTTGGTACTTGGTATATCCATCAATATTTCATTCATAAATACTCTTACCATGATAGGCTTTTTAGGAATGAAGAAAATCTTCTTCATATAAAATATCCTGGGGTGTAGTACCTACTAGGTTCGGTTAAAGCCATGCAGGATGTCTGTTTAGGGAAATAGGTTTTGTTTACATACTGGATATCCTGAAAATTATTCTGAATCTCAAGAATATGAAAGGGTGACAATTCATCGTCCTTATCCTCATCTAGAGATTGTTGGTAATTCTGATTGTTTAGCATATTTAGTTGAGAACTGGATTGTCCTAGCTTCATGTCTTTGATTTTATTCACAAGAACATCCAGAAATTCATTATCCTGTTTGACTGATCTAAGCTTGAAATTAGAAATTTCTAAAGGTGGTTTAATATTAACGGGATGTATAGGTTCAGGTTCAGGCTTCTTTTGATCAATTTTTTGAGTCTGAAGTAATTCTGTTATGGTCATTTCAATTTGGTTTAATTGATTGCCTACTGTTTGAAAATGAAGATTTGTATAATTATTCTGTTTCATTATTGGGGCAAGATCTTTAACCCAAATAATATCTCATTTTTCAATTCCATCTGGTGGTTTTACAAAAGCAGTAATGTGTAAAGATTGACTGGAATAATTTACCCCTGGTGTTAATTCTACAGATAAAGGAGGAGGATGTACAAATTTAATGGTTTGACCATCTGTAGTAGCCCAAGATTTTTGTAAGTCGTCTAAAACATTTAATTCTGATGATGATAGATACTCTATTACAGTTGTATATTCATAATACCATTCAACAAAAGGTTTCATTATTTGATATTTTTCAAGGTGAAAATAATACCGTTTTTTAAGCTTCTTAAGTTCTGAAGAACTATGGATCTGAAAATACCATATCCTAAATTCTTGGTATTTATCTTGCATAAAATCCTGGTTTAATTGTTTTCTTATTTCACTTCCTGGTGTAAAATCCATTATATTTCAAAATTCATGTCACTAGCTGTTAGGCTGTAAGGCCTTCTGTTTTCATACACTTCATGAGATATTTGATTTTCCGATACATGAATTCCTCGAATCACAGGGTCTGTAGGCAAATCACTCTTTATGAACTTTTTTTTTTCATATTTTTTTAAAAATTGTTTTTCAGTTAAGTCTAGTAGAACTCAAAAGTGTAAATTTAAAATTAAAAAAAGTTCACTAACGCTCTGTTTGTTTCAACAAAAAATAATTTCATAAATATTTTTTGTTCTAGAAAATAATCTTCTAGAAAATATATATATACATTTTTATGTTTATTGGTGGTGATAGCAAGAGGAAGGTGGTGGTGTGGTGATAGGGTGGCGGCAACAATGATGGCTACAGTGATAGTATTGATAGCTGTTGTGATAGTGTAATGGTGGTGGAGATCATGGTGATGGTGATAGTGTTGTGATATTGATAAGATTTTAAGATTTTAGTCTAAAAAATAGAAGTAAAAAATATTTTTCTGTCTAAATAGACTTATTTTTCGTTGACAATAAAAAGTGTTATTTTTTATTCTACCAAGGAGAATTTATTAGAAAATTTTCTTTTAAGTACATGTATTCTAATTAGTCTATAAGATATTCATGTATTCCAATAAGTCCTATTATTTTGGACATTTGATTCACTAAATCTTAATTCTTATATTTAAGGTATTTATAAACAATTTTATCTTTATAAATATTTTTTAACCCCTTAGCAACTTGGTGATGTGAGCATTCACATTAAATAAATTTGAGAGTGTGGATGTTCACATCATAGAATATTCGCACTATCAATGTGAATATTAATGCATACTTTACTCTATAATTATTAGAGATATTGTGATAACTATATTACCCATAGAATTTATTGAAAAGAAAATTTACTTATAAATCACATTTTGAAGAATGATGATCCATTTAGTCGCAATGATTTTTTTATAAACCAATTAGTCCCATTGATTTTAGAAATGTAGATTTAATATATTATTTGAAAATTAGATTTAAGATTATACTCTTATTTCTATAATGCTTCCTTATCTTTTTTTCTTTTATGCTAGAAAGGTAAGGTACACAATTTATAAGAATTTGGAATAAATTTTTGTATGATAATCTTTTTTATTTGGAAAAAAATGACTTAAAATATAGGATTCTTCAAATATTCCAAAACGATATGGGATTCTTCAAATATTTCCAAAGGAGTATAAAAAACTCCTTAGTAAGTTTCAGACAGATGTGTAATTTCAAATTGTAACACTCCAATGTAA